ATTCTGTTTATAACTGACACTCAGACACAGACACTCCTCCATTCATCCAGCTGATAAATCTGGTGATGAAATCCAATTATTATCACAAATATCATAATAAAATCCCCCTGTTCTGCCTCCTCCCATCCACACCCCTGAAGAGACAGAGCAGTGAAGGCATCAGGCATTTGGAACAGCTGAAAAAACCCGAAATAAAGAAGGTTTTTACTCACAAACAGAGGAATGTCCTCTGTCTCACTGATGGCTGCTTTCATCATGGCCACCACGTGCTCATTTGTGATCACTTCCTACAGGAACAAACACCAAAAAAAGTGTCCTTTACATTCTCTTTGTTAAAAAGACACAGCAGGAAAGCTAAATCTTAATTAAACTCAAACCTCTGAGCACTCCCAGGCTCCCAAAACAAGGGGCTGGCTCTCTCTGTGGAGAGTATGGAATAACCAACTATATTATTGTGTATTTATAATCTGTGAACTCTTTAAAAAAATTGTGCTGCATCATCCCAGCACCTCAGGAGACAGGAATTAATTCATGGCCCTGGTATGGGATCTGCCTGAAAAGAATATAATATATTCAGGGGGAAAAATATGAAAAAAACATATATATACATAATGAAAATATAATATTTTCAGGGGGGAAATAATCTGAGATCACCTGGGTTGGAACAACACCAGCTGAAGGAGCGGGGGAAAAAAATCAAGGCACCATTTCTGTGGGAAAATAATTCCTACTGCTCTCCAGCCCTGCTTTGGGATGAACTTTGGGATGAATCCACAGCCAGGGGGGGCAGAGTCAGAGGTTCCCCCCAGAGCTCTGACAGCAGAGATGTCCTGGCAGTGCCTTTCCAGGAGGGAAAGGAGGGGATTTTGGGATGGACTCAAGGCCTGGGCATCGACGATGGGTGATGCTGTCAGCGCCACCGGAATTCCATCAGGATTTTGGGATGGAAGAGCAGCTCCCAGCCCACAGCCTGCTCCCCTGGAGGATGGTTTTTAGCTCAGTTATATTCCTGCTGCTCAGGGAAAAGCAAGACAGCCCCTTGTGCCTCTGGAAATGCAGGGAATTGGGATCGACCCCTCCCACCCGAGCAGGGTCCAGGCGACACCCCGCGATTTACGGATCCCAAAGGAGACATCAGGTGGCCAAGACATCCCTGTGCATGAAGCCCAGTGCCACCAGCAGCACCCACAGCCTGGCCTGGAGCCTCCCCAGCCCCCCTGGAGCCGCCCCCAGACTCACGTGCAGGATGTTCCTCACGTTGACCACGGTCAGGTTGTGCTGCTTGGCCCCGTCCTCCAAGGTGCGGTCCAGGGTGTCGTCCAGCTTGATGTCACAGGACAGAGGCCCCCCCTCCTCCTCCTCCTCCTTCTCCTCCTCCTGGCTCCTCCCTTCTCTTTTCCTTTTGGTTGCCTTCCTCCTCCTCTTCCTCCTCTCCGTGTCCTCCCCGTCCTGCTCCTCTGAAAGCGAGTGGAGATGGGATCTGAGTGCTCGGCTCCTTCACAGCCTAAAAACCAACCCCAACCCCCAACTCTGCGGCTCCTGAGGCAGCAAAACTTCACCCTGCTGATGGGAAGAGTGGGAAGGGAATGGAAATGGGAAGATGGGAAGGGCCACGAGAACCAGGAAGCGTTCTGAGGGATGGATTCAAGCCCTGTGTGGCTGCCGCCTCTCCCAGGCGGATTTTACAGAGCGGCCTCAGCTGCCTCTTTTTCCTGCACCTTTTCCAGAGGAAAAAGCTGCAAACTCCAGGCACCACACAGCCAAGAACAGGATGCAGCTTGCAGGATTTGAAGTGCTTTCCAACAGGCACTGCTCGGCTGGCTCAGGGAAGCGAGAACCACGACTGCCTCTGAAGGAAAGCAGCGTTTCCATCGACCCCAAAAACTGCTGGAATCAACTTCCAGCTGGGACACCTGTAGTTTGCTGAGCCACTGAGTCACAGAGGCAAAAAAATGCTGCCCCCTAAACAGCCCCCCACCGGGGTGCTCACAATTCCAGGGCCTGTTCCTTGCCCTGTGGAAGGAAAAGCTGCTCACCAGCCCTGGCGCTCTTCGGTGGCCTCGTCACGGCAGGATTCCTTCCAGCCACCTGCAGGGAGCTCCTCCCGGGAGACTCGGGGCTCTCAGCGGGATATGGGTCTCTCTGGGAACTCACTTCCACCTCTGTGAACAGCTTGGGGATCTTCCCTGGGAACAGCACGCAGAAAGCTGGGGTCAGATATCCCAGAGCAAAGTTAAAATATCAGAATTTTATCACGGCCCGAACGGAGCAGGAGCTTAAATAAATTAAACACTTAAACACATCACTAACACTATCCTAAAATCTACATTTACTACATAACTACTCCTAAGATCTAGAAAAATTTAAAAAAAAAATGAAAACATCAACACTCCAAGGTATCAGAGCTACGAAACCCTTCCCTTCCTGTTCTGTGCAGCCCCACGGGTTACACAGCCCCAGAAAAACTGGGAATGGTCTCATTCCAACCCCTTCTCCAGCACCAGCTCAGCTCTCACTCAGACCAGGAGCTCCCTGCAGGAGCACGAGGAATGAAGAAGGTTGGGAGGGACCTCAGGGGGTCCTTCCTGGTCCCATAAAACACAGTAAAAACCAGTAAAAACCAGTAAAAAACCAGTAAAAAACCAGTAAAAACCAGTAAAAAACCAGTAAAAACCAGTAAAAACCAGTAAAAACCAGTAACACCCCTCGGTGCTGTGGGCAGATCAGTTCTCCACATCCCTTGAGCTCGGGGGAGGAAAAAAATAAAAATAAAAAAAAAAGGATGAGGAATTTAAAGAATTTAAAGCCAAAGAGCTCTGAGAAGCAGCAGCAGCTCCGACTTCCACCAAGCCAAGCTTTGCTTTTAAAGCCCAAACTCGAGGTCTGGATTTACAAAGCCCAGCCTAAAGATGAGCCTGCACTTGGTGTGCCTGGGGGAGCTGTGGGGAGGGGGCTCTTACACCCACCCAGGATCAAACACGGGGGGGAAAACAGCTCAGGGACAGCGGGAAAAACACCCTGGAAAATGGGGATTTCAGGAAATCAGGGAGTGGTTCAGGTGGGAAGGGTCATCTTCCACTTAGATCGGGTTTAGCTCCAACTTTGGAGCTCTGGACACTTCCAGGGATGGGGGGAGGGGAAAGGTTGGGAAAAGGGGTCGGTTTTCATTCTGATCTGTAACACTTCCCAGAAAAATAAATAAATGAATAGATAAATAAATAGATGGGAAAATAACAAGATAAACAGATAAATAACCAGATGAATAGATAAATAACCTGATGAGTAGATAAATAACCAGACAGATAGATAAATAAATAACCAGCCAGAAAAATAAATAGCCAGGTAAATAAATAAATAAATAAATAATAACCAGAAAACCTCAGGGCTCAAAGCCACTCCCCTTTCAGATAGATAGATAGATAGACAGATAGATGCATAGATTAATTAACTAATAACAGCCACCACAAACCCCCAGGCCCCAAGAACCCCCCCCTGGTATGTTCTGCCAGGGACAGGGGGGAAGCTTTGGAAAAAAGGCCTGTTTTCACACTAAACTCTAACACTTCAGGAGGTAAATAAATAAAAACATAGATAAATAGATAGAACAGATAAAATAATTAATTAATTAACTTATAACAACCACCACAAACCTCCAGGCCCCAAGAGTCCCCCCGGTACGTTCTGCCAGGGACAGGGGGGAAGCTTTGGGAAAAAGGGCACATTTTCACACTAAACTCTAACACTTCAGAGGGAAATAAATAAAAATATGGATAAAGAGATAGACAGACAAATAAAATAATTAATTAATTAACTAATAACAACCACCACAAACCCTCAGGCCCAAAGAGCCCCCCCCAGTACGTTCTGCCAGGGACAGGGGGGAAGCTTTGGGAAAGGGGCCCGTTTTCACACTAAACTCTAACACTTCAGGAGGTAAATAAATAAAAATATAGATAAATAGATAGATAAAATAATTAATTAAGTAACTAATAACAACCACCACAAACCCCCAGGCCCCAAGAGCCCCCCTAGTACGTTCTGTCAGGGATAGGGGAGAAGCTTTGAGAAAAAGGGCCTGTTTTCACACTAAACTGTAACACTTCAGAGAGAACTAAACAAAAAACCAGACAGACAGATAGATAAAACAATTAATTAATTAACAAACAGTAACCACAACCTCCCAGGCCCCAAAATCCCTTCCCTTTTGGGCCCCCCCCCCCCCCATCCCCGGTACCTTCCGCGGGGCTCCCGGGGGGTTTCCTGGAGGTCTCTCCCTGCCCCTTCCCCGCCGCTCTCCCGGACCCTCCTCCTCCTCCCTCCCCTCCTCCCTCCTCCGCCGCCATCGCCGCCGTCCCCGGGGCCCGGCGGTTCCGCGTCCTCCGCCGCCGCCGCCCGGCGCTTCTTGCAGGGCAGCATCTTCAGCGCCAGCGCCATCCCGGGACGGGGCGGGACGGGAAAGGATGGAATCCTGGCGGGGGTCCCGCTCCCCACCGATCCCGACCCCGCTCCCGCTCCCAGGAAACGGAAACTCCCGGCCCTCCCCCCGTCCCTCCCTCCCTCCCCCTCCAAACCGACCTTCCCCTCCCCTTCCCCTCCCCTTCCCCTCCCCACTCCGCGCATGCGCCGCGGGTGACGCCCGGTCCCCGTGGGATTTTGGGGGGAGAATCCAGGCAGGACCCCGGGAGCGACCCCCGGCACCGTCACCCCTGAACACGCCCCAACACCCCCTCAGTTCATCCCCTCCGCACCCCCACGGTGCCCTCGGGGGGTCCCACCCATCCCGTGGGGAGCCTCCCGCGGCGCTGCCGCCGTCGCATCGCGGTGGGGGAGAGGGGTGTAATTTAAATTAATTTAAACACACCGGGCGGCGTGTCCCCACCCCAGCCCCCAAAGGAGCTTGTTCGCCACCCCCAGCCCCCAGGGCAGTTGCCGAGTCACGGCCGGGCGGGGCCGCGGCGGGCGGGGCGGGGCCGGGCAGGGCGAGCGCCGCAGCGGGACCAGTCGCCAGCTCCTGCATCCCCGGCCCTGCCACTCGGAGCGGCAGCATCATCATCATCATCCTCCGCACATCCCCACCCCCTCCTCCCCGCGCCGGGTCCCGCACCCCCTCCCCCCGGCGCCGGGGCCACCATGGCCGAGATCACCAGTGTGCACCCCGGCTTCGGTGAGTGGGGGTCGGGGAGGCGGCGGGGGGACCCCCACCCATCCCGGGAGGAGCCGCCGGGGCCGGGCCGGGCCGTGCGCGGCGGCAGCGGCGACAGCGCCATCGGTCCCGGCCCCTCCGCCCCGCAGACGGCCGCGGCCCCTCATTATCCCCTCGCTGCCGCTCCCTCGTTATCCCCCCCACTGCCGCTCCATCATTATCCCCCGCCGCCGTTCCCTCGTTATCCCCCGATGCCGCTCCTCATTATCCCCCCGATGCCGTTCCCTCATTATCCCCTCGCTGCCGCTCCCTCGTTATCCCCCCGATGCCGCTCCCTCGTTATCCCCCCGATGCCGCTCCCTCGTTATCCCCCCGCCGCCGCTCCCCCGGTCCCCGCTCCCGCATCATCCATCCCCGGCACCCCGCGGCCCCTCAGCATCCCCGGTCCCGCTCCTGCATCATCCATCCCTCGGCACCCGCGGCCCCTCTGCATCCCCGGTCCCGCTCCTGCATCATCCATCCCTCGGCACCCCCGGCCCCTCGGCATCCCCCGGCCCCGCTCCCGCATCATCCATCCCTCGGCACCCCCGTGGCCCCGCTCCTGCATCATCCATCCCTCGGCACCCTGCGGCCCCGCTCCCGCATCATCCATCCTCGGCATCCCCGGCCCCGCTCCTGCATCATCCATCCCTCGGCATCCTCCGGCCCCGCTCCCCGCGCATCCCGCGCTCCCGGGGCGGCCCGGGTGATGCCGAGCCCCCGCCCGCCGCTGGGGCGGTGCCAGCGCTCGGTGCCGGTGCCGGGGGTGGGCAGGGGTCGTGGTTGGGGGTTGGGGGAGCGGCCGGGGCTCGGGATGACGTGATGTCTGTGCCGGGCCGCGCCCGCGCCCCGGCCCTTTGTTCGCGCTCCCGGGGGCGGCTGCGGCACCGGCACCGGCGGCACGAGGCGGGGCCCGACCGGGACAACCGGGGGGTGCCGCGGGGGTGGGAGGAGGGGGTGGGGGTCCCGCAGCCCCCCGGAGCGCCGGTGGGGCCCGGGCGGAGTCGGGAGCTGGGCCCCGGCAGCTCCGCGGAGAGGATGGAGAAGCTCCAAATCCCGCTCGGCCCCCGCGGGGAGAAGGGCCCGGACCGTGCCGGGCCCAACCCCGGGCAGGTTTTGGCGAGAATCTTGGATTTTAAGATGGTTTTTATTTTTGCTGCAGCCGCCGGGGTGAGGAGGGCGGGGACCGCAGCGCTGGGTGGGGATCGAGGGGTTCTTCCAGCCCTGGACACCCAAAGGGATGCTCTGTGTGTCCTCCAGCACACCCCTGACCTTCCCCTCGGACCTCCTGCCCCGTGGTCACGGCTTTTCCTTTCAATCTTTAATTACCCATCCCCATTGCTCCATCCTCCACCCTCCATCGGATGGCCAAGTCCACTCACTCACCTCTTTCTTCCCTTCTGGCTTTCCTGGAATCCCAGAGCCACGTGCTGTCACCATTGGAGCACTGGCCATCGAGGTTTCCTCGGCTAACATCGAGTTTTAGAGGAGGTTTTCCATGATTTTTTTTTGGGGGGTTTGTTTCAGTTAAAAGCATCGCCCTTTGGAGCAAAAGTCCCTTCCAGGAAGTTTGGATGAAAGGGCAGGGAGTTCTGCTCTGCTGGAGGGAGGTGCCAGCTCTGTGGTGCCATTTCAGGTGGTCACTGGGCGCTGGAAATGCTCTGAAAGCTGCAGAGGCTTCACTAAAACTGGGTTTGGGCAGCTTTGGATCAGAACTGAGAGGAATTATGGAGACAGGGACCAATGGATGCATGGAATGGTTACATAAGTAGGAGCTTTCAGCTGGGAAAAGGGGGATTATGGGCAGCACAGAGGAGGGAAAGGCTCATTCCCTGCTCCTCCTGATGCAGGGACAGGCACTGGAAGGGAGGGGGTAAAACCCTCTTGGCTCATGAGGCTCTTTGGCCACATCCTGGGAGCCAAATTTAAGGGTGAGAGAATATTTAACAGTTGGGAGAATATTTAAGGGCTGAGAGAATATTTAACAGTTGAGAGAATATTTAAGGGTTGAGAGAATATTTAAGGGTGGAGAGAATATTTAAGGGTTGAGAGAATATTTAAAGGTTGAGAGAATATATAAGGGTTGAGAGAATATTTAAAGATTGAGAGAATATATAAGGGTTGAGAGAATAGTTAAGGGTTGAGAGAATATTTAAGACTTGAGAGAATATTTAAGGGCTTGAGAGAATAGTTGAGAGAATATTTAAGAGTTGAGAGAATATTTAAGAGTTGAGAGAATATGTAAGGGTTGAAAGAATAGTTAAGGGTTGAGAGAATATATAAGAATTAAGAATAAGAATAACAAGAATAAGAATAGTTCCAGCATTCTTCTTGAATATCCACCAAAGCTTTTAGCAGCTGAGTTGTCTCCAAATGAGCTGTTTAAGAACACTCGCCTCATTTTAGAGAGGGAACACCAAAAAATAAAACCAGAGTTGATTTTTTGGAGGGTGTTTTGTCAATATTATAAATCCCTCTTGCCTCACTTAGTTCAGCTCTGTTTGTGGTTTTTGGTGAAGAAGTGATTGGTAAGGAAGGAGATGTAGGGTCAAAGGGCTCTTTTGGTTTGCTGGCTTCCCCCCCAAAAAAAAACCAACCAAAACCGGCTTTAAAACCAGGAATGCAAAAATAAGTTCTGTGAAAAGTCTGGCTCTGCTTTCCCTAAAACCTTCCCACCAAAAAAAAAAACCTGAAGGCAGCAAAAAGAGAGATCAGCCCCTTCTTTTGGGCTCTCCTTGTCTTCCATCTGCTCCCCATCCTCCATCCACTCCAAATATCCCAATCCTTGGCTGGAATTGCCGAGGGATGTCAGCCCAGGCTTCCCTCAGTGCCATCCATTAAGGGAATAACCAGCGTGGCCACTAAAAATAAACACGGGGTGGGTCTTTTTAATTCCTCCCCAGAACAGAAATCAGCCCAGAGATCTCGGAAAAAATATCAAATAATCCCTAAATCCAATAAATAATAATAATAAATATCAAATAATCCCTAAATCCAAACCTGGGATTTTCTGCCCCTCGTTGTTTTTTTTGTGGTTTTTTTTGTTTTGTTTTGTTTTGAGTTTGTTTTTTTTTTGGTGTTGTGATTTTTTTTATTATTTTATTTTTTTCATTATTTTATTTTTTTCATTATTTTTATTTTATTTTATTTTTTATTTCCACGGGGGATTTCAAACAAAAAAACCTAAACCATTTTCAGGGCTAAGCGGTGTCGTAGATGTGATTCACGAGGGACAACTCGGATGTCGTCCCCCCTCGATGTCGTGAGAACAGAATTGTGTAACGTTTCTGGAGCAGGGCCTTAAAAAAAAATAAAAATAAATAAATAAATAAAAGCAAGTGGCTCCTGCACATCGAGAAAACCGCGTTCCTATGGAGATGCCGGTGAGGAGGGAGCCGGGTTTGGCAAGAGGAGGCAAACAGACTGGTTGGAAAATCCTCGGCACACGGCGGGGAGAGAGGAGGGGGGAGGAAAAACCAGGTCGGGAGAGCGGGGGATGAATCTGCAGGTGGGGAAAAAAGAGGGGGGAAGGAGCTTCCAGGGAGGGGGGATTTTTTGGCAGCCAGATGGGGGGATTGGGAGCCCCCCTCTCCCCTCCCCTGCAGGGGGGTCTGACCACTCGGTCTCCTCGCAGATGTGTCCCCCGTGGTGGCCGGGCTCATCGGCGCCACCGTCCTGGTGGTCTCCGTCTCGCTCACGGTGTTCGTGTGGACGTGCTGTCACCAGCAGGCCGAGAAGAAGCACAAAAACCCGCCCTACAAGTTCATCCACATGCTGAAGGGCATCAGCATCTACCCCGAGACGCTGAGCAACAAGAAGAAAATCAACCGGCTGCGCAGAGACAAGAGCGGGAGCCCGAGGGAGCCCGCGGGGGGAAACCTCGCGGCGGGAGCGGCCGAGTCGGGGCTGCTCGGCCCCGAAAAGGCTCCGGCTGGGCCTGACGCGGCCCCTCGAGTGGAGCAGCTCCCCATCCGGGTGGACTACGGCGACGAGCTGAGCCCCGACCGCAGCCTCACCCCGGCGGGCAGCAAAACCTCGTCGCCCTCGTCCCCCGGCGGCGACGACGACGACGTGAGGCTGGGCGAGCTGAGCTTCTCGGTGGACTACAACTTCCCCAAAAAGGCCCTGGTGGTCACCATCCAGGAGGCCCGCGGGCTGCCCGTGATGGACGAGCACACGCAGAGCTCCGACCCCTACATCAAGATGACCATCCTGCCCGACAAGCGGCACCGCGTCAAGACCCGCGTGCTGCGCAAGACGCTGGAGCCGGTGTTCGACGAGACCTTCACCTTCTACGGCATCCCCTACAGCCAGCTGCAGGACCTGGTGCTGCACTTCCTCGTGCTCAGCTTCGACCGCTTCTCCCGCGACGACGTGATCGGAGAGGTGGTGGTGCCCCTGGCCGGCGTGGACCCCAGCACGGGCAAGGTGCAGCTCTGCAGGGACATCCTCAAGAGGAACATCCAGGTGAGCCGCCCAGCGCGCCCGGACGAGCCCCCAACCCCGCTGGTCGGGCAGGAAAGGTGACCCCCAGAGAGGGGTGAGCCTGCAGGGAGGGGCTCCTGGAAAGCCAGATTTTTATTGGTAAATTGAATAAGTTTCTAAGTGTTGAATTCTCCAGAATGAGCTGCTTAAAAGGCATGTTCCATTGGAAAATTAAATAAGTTTCTAAGTGTTGAGTTCTCCAGAATGAGCTGCTTAAAAGGCATGTTCCATTGGAAAATTGAATCAGTTCTCAAGTGTTGAATTCTCCAGAATGAGCTGCTTAAAAGCCTTGTTTTATTTGAAAATTAAATAAGTTTCTGAGTGTTGAGCTTACAGGGAGGGGCTTCTGGAAAGCCAGATTTTTATTGGTAAATTGAATAAGTTTCTAAGTGTTGAGTTCTCCAGAATGAGCTGCTTAAAAGGCATGTTTAATTTGAAAATTAAAGAAGTTCTTAAGTGTTGAATTCTCCAGAATGAGCTGCTTAAAAGGCAAGTTTAATTTGAAAGTTAAGTAAGTTTCTGAGTGTTGAGCCTGCAGGGAGGGGCTTCTGGAAAGCCAGATTTTTATTGGTAAATTGAGTAAGTTTCTAAGTGTTGAATTCTCCAGAATGAGCTGCTTAAAAGGCATGTTCCATTGGAAAATTAAAGAAGTTCTTAAGTGTTGAATTCTCCAGAATGAGCTGCTTAAAAGGCATGTTTAATCTGAAAGTTAAGTAAGTTTCTGAGTGTTGAGCCTGCAGGGAGGGGCTTCTGGAAAGCCAGATTTTTATTGGTAAATTGAATAAGTTTCTAAGTGTTCAGTTCTGCAGAATGAGCTGCTTAAAAGGCAAGTTTAATTTGAAAATTAAAGAAGTTTCTGAGTGTTGAGCTTACAGGGAGGGGCTTCTGGAAAGCCAGATTTTCATTGGTAAATTGAATAAGTTTCTAAGTGTTGAGTTCTCCAGAATGAGCTGCTTAAAAGGCAAGTTTAATTTGAAAATTAAATAAGTTCTTAAGTGTTGAATTCTCCAGAATGAGCTGCTTAAAAGGCATGTTCCATTTGAAAATTAAATAAGTTCTTAAGTGTTGAGTTCTGCAGAATGAGCTGCTTAAAAGGCATTTTTAATTTGAAAATTAAAGAAGTTTCTGAGTGTTGAGCCTGCAGGGAGGGGCTTCTGGAAAGCCAGATTTTTATTGGTAAATTAAATAAGTTTCTAAGTGTTCAGTTCTCCAGAATGAGCTGCTTAAAAGGCATGTTCCATTGGAAAATTAAATCAGTTCTTAAGTGTTGAGTTCTCCAGGAGCGGGCTGCTTGAAAGGCATGTTCCATTGGAAAATTAAATCAGTTCTTAAGTGTTGAATTCTCCAGAATAAGCTGCTTAAAAGGCATGTTCCATTGGAAAATTGAATCAGTTCTCAAGTGTTGAATTCTCCAGAAGAGTGTTAAGGCTGCTTAAAAGAAGTTTCAGTTTGCTAGTGCTGAAAGCAGTTCATGGAATGATAGTCTCAGGGAATCCAGAATAGTCTCTATTGAAAATTAATAGTTCTCAAGTGTTGAATTCTCCAGAATGAGCTGCTTAAAAGGCATTTTTAATTTGAAAATTAAAGAAGTTTCTGAGTGCTGAGCCTGCAGGGAGGGGCTTCTGGAAAGCCAGATTTTTATTGGTAAATTGAGTAAGTTTCTAAGTGTTCAGTTCTCCAGAATGAGCTGCTTAAAAGGCAAGTTTAATTTGAAAATTAAAGAAGTTTCTAAGTGTTGAATTCTCCAGAATGAGCTGCTTAAAAGGCAAGTTTAATTTGAAAATTAAATAAGTTCTTAAGTGTTGAATTCTCCAGAATAAGCTGCTTAAAAGGCATGTTCCATTGGAAAATTAAATCAGTTCTCAAGTGTTGAATTCTCCAGACTGAGCTGCTTAAAAGGCATTTTTAATTTGAAAATTAAAGAAGTTTCTGAGTGCTGAGCCTGCAGGGAGGGGCTTCTGGAAAGCCAGATTTTTATTGGTAAATTGAATAAGTTTCTAAGTGTTGAATTCTCCAGAATGAGCTGCTTAAAAGGCAAGTTTAATTTGAAAATTAAATAAGTTTCTGAGTGTTGAATTCTCAAGGATAAGTTTTTAAAAACCATCTTTAATTTGAACGTTGAATAAGTTTCTAAGTTTTGAGTTCTCCAGAATGAGCTGCTTAAAAGGCAAGTTTAATTTGAAAATTAAATAAGATCTTAAGTGTTGAATTCTCTGGGATAAGCTTCTTAAAAGCCATCTTTAGTTGGAAAATTTAGATAAGTTTCTGAGTGTTGAATTCTCAAGAAGCTCCTTAAAAGCCATGTTTAATTGGAAAATTTAGATAATTAAGTGTTGAATTCTCCAGGTTGAGCTTCCTGGTTTTTAAAAGCCATCTTCAATTTGAAAATCGAGATGATTTTTAAGTGTTGAAATCTCTGGGATAAGTTTTTAAAAGCCATCTTTACTTGGAAAATTTGGATAAGTTTCTAAGTGTTGAGTTCTCCAGGATGAGCTGCTTAAAAGTCACTTTTCACCTGACAATTAAATAAGTTTCTAAGTGTTGAATTCTCGAGGATAAGTTTTTTCAAGCCGTATTTCATTGGAAAATTTAAATAATTTTAAGAGTTTAATTCTCAAGGATTTTTAAAATATTTTAAAGATTTTCTTTTTAAAAAGGGAGGAAAGTAGATTTAAATAAAAATAGATTTGAACAAGGAGGCAGGTTAACATTTATTAGTGATCAAAAATCAGTTTACTTTGGTGTCAGGGCTCGGGATTTGAACTCCTAAATGCCCCCAGACCCAAAATCCAGTGGGATTTGAGCTCCTAAACCACTCCTGACCCAAAATCCAGTGGGATTTGAGTTTATAAACCCCTCACTCCCAAAATCCAGTGGGATTTGAGCTCCTAAAACCCTCACACTCAAAATCCATTGGAGTTTGAGCTCCCAAACCCATTCAGTGAAATTTGGGCTCCTAAACCCCCCAGTCCCAAAATCCACTGGAGTTTGAGCTCCCAAACTCCCTCCAGTCCCAAAATCCAGTGGGGTTTGAGCTCCCAAACCCATTCAGTGGAGTTTGGGCTCCTAAACCCCTCACTCCCAAAATCCAGTGGGATTTTAGCTCCCAAATCCCCCAGACCCAAAATCCAGTGGGATTTGAGCTCCCATATCCCCCAATCCCAAAATCCAGTAGGATTTCAGCTCCTAAACCCCTCACACTCAAAACCCATTGGAATTTGAGCTCCCAAACAGTGGGTTCAGCTCCTAGACCTCACCCAAAACCCATTGGAATTTGAGTTCCCAAACCCCAAATCCAGTGGGATTTCAGCTCCTAAACCCCTCACACTCAAAACCCATTGGAGTTTGAGCTCCCAAACCCAAAATCCAGTGGGATTTGAGCTCCTAAACCCCTCACACTCAAAACCCATTGGAATTTGAGCTCCCAAACCCCAAATCCAGTGGGATTTGAGCTCCCCAAGCCCCCCAAACCCCAGTAGAGGAATTAGAGTTTATAAACCCCTCACTCCCAAAATCCAGTGGGATTTGAGCTCCTAATCCACTCCTGACCCAAAATCCCTTGGAATTTGAGCTCCCAAACTCCCCTAGACCCAAAATCCATTGGAATTTGAGCTCCTAAACCCCTGACTCCCAAAATCCAGTGGGATTTCAGCTCCTAAACCCCTCACACTCAAAACCCATTGGAGTTTGAGCTCCCAAACCCCAAATCCAGTGGGATTTGAGCTCCTAAACCCCTCACACTCAAAATCATTGGGATTTGAGCTCCTAAATCCCCCTCACTCCCAAAATCCAGTGGGATTTGAGCTCCCAAACTCCCCTAGACCCAAAATCCAGTGGGATTTGAGCTCCCAAACCTAGACCCAAAATCCAGTGGGATTTGAGCTCCTAAACCCCTCACACTCAAAACCCATTGGAGTTTGAGCTCCCAAACCCCAAATCCCAGTGGGATTTGACCTCCCAACCCCCCAGACCCAAAACCAGTGGAGTTTGAGCTCCCAAACCCATTCAGTGCATTTGGGGCTCCTAAACCCCTCACTCCCAAAATCCAGTGGGATTTCAGCTCCTAAACCCCTCACACTCAAAACCCATTGGACTTTGAGCTCCCAAACCCCAAATCCAGTGGGATTTGAGCTCCTAAACCCCAAATCCAGTGGGATTTGAGCTCCCCGAGCCCCCCAAACCTCACCCCCAGCGGGACAATTTGACCTCCCCGGACCCAGGGCCGCCTTTTCCCGACGAATTCCTCGTGTTCCCTGCCCTCCCCCACCCCCAAATCCGTGTTTTCCAGAAGTGCCTGAGCCGGGGGGAGCTGCAGGTCTCGCTGTCCTACCAGCCCGTGGCGCAGAGGATGACCGTGGTGGTGCTGAAGGCCCGGCACTTGCCAAAGATGGACATCACCGGCCTCTCAGGTAGAAGCTATTTTCTCCAGCTTGGAATTTATCTGGGGTTTGTTTGGTTTTTTTTTGGGAATTCTCCCCCGCCTCGTCCACTTTTCCACTCTTCCCAAGTCGAGCTGCAGCTCCTCTCGTGAGCCGCGGGGTCGTTGTGGGATTGTCGCGTTTGCCCGAACTCCTCGCGGGGTGAGGGACCCAAATCCTCTCTCCCTGCTGGGAGCACAAACAGTGGGGACATCCTTTGGGGTTTTCCAAAGGGGGAAGCATCTCCCTAAGGTGGATCTGTGGGATGAGGGCTTGGGATCCATCGGGGTGAGGGGCAACGAGGCCGAGCACCCTTTGGGGTCACAACAACCTCGAGCGCCCTTTGGGGTCACAACGACCCCGAGCGCCCTTTGGGGTCAAAACGACCCCGAGTTTCCTTTGGGGTCCCAATGACCTCAAAACCCCTTTGGGGTCACGACATCCCCGGGTTTTGGGGCAGGAAAAGGGCTGGAAAAGCGGGAAAGGGCCCGGAGGGGATGGTTGGCAGTGGTCTGGACACCATCCCAGGTGGGGAAGGAAGGGCGATGACACCAGGCCTGGAGCAGATTTTGGGGTGGGTTTGGGGACCCTGGTGGGACAAAGAGGGGCTGGGGAGTGTCCAGGGGAGGGGATGGAGATGGGGAAAGGGCTGGAGCACCAGGATTCCATGGCATTCCTGGCATTCCTGGCATTCCTGGCATTCCTGGCATTCCTGGCATTCCTGGCATTCCTGGCTCAGGGCTGGGGTGGCCCAGCAGGAGCAGGGAGGGGGTTCTGTGACCTCCCCACCCCAACACACCTCGAGGGCTGTGCCAACTTCTGGGAATTCAGGGAATTCAGGGGCTGGAGAAACTCCTGAGGGAGCTGGGGGGGCTCATACCGGAGAAAAGGAGGCTCAGGGGGGACCTCCTGGCTCTGGAATTCCCTGGCAGGTTTTACAGGCAGACCCCTCAGAGGGAAGGCAGATTAAAGCAGGCTAAGCCTAATTTAGGCCTATTTTAGGCCCAAAGATAAAGATAAAGACACTCTTTTTTAAAAATAAAAAAGGAGAAGCTCTCCCTGTGTGTTCTCCCACCAGAGGATGAATTTTTCCAGTGGCTGCTCTTCCACCTGCTTTAATTTTGTGAGGCTGAAGCCGCTGCTTTCCACCTCAAACTCATTTCAGCTGGATTAAAAAAAAAAAAAGAAAAAAGGTGAAAAACGAGTTTTGCAGCTCCAAAACTTCAGTGAAATGAGGGAAAAAAAAAAAAAAAAAAAAGAAGCCCTCAGTGCCTGGTGCCTCCATTGTAATCCCCAACGAGTGTCTGCATCAAGGGAGGCTTTGTCCTAAACTTCCTTCCCTTCCCGAGCCTTCCACTGGCTCAGGGAGTTTTCCACCTCCAGAGTCTTTGTTTGTCATTCAGTGAATTGTTCAGTTGGTGGTTTGGGTTATAATTTAAAAAAAAAAAAAAAAAATTAAAAAAAAATGCAGATGGTTCAGCTACTTGGCCGCTGAATTTTAGAGCCCTGCTGGAAAAATTTAAAAACTGGGATAGTTATTTACTTTAGGACTTCAGGGAATTTTAGAGCCCTGTTGGAAAAATATAAAAGCTAAGATAATTTAGCTCCTTACTTTAGGACTTCAGGGAATTTTAGAGCCTTGTTGGGAAAAATGATGCTTTGCAGGACCCCAGTGTTTCAGGCAGCCCTCAGCCTTTGTGGGATGCAATAATTAAAAATAATCCAGATAATTCAGCTTCTTGACCGCTGAATTTTGGAACCTTGCTGGAAAAATCTAAAAACTGAGATAATTTAGCTCCTTACTTTAGGACTTCAGTGAATTTTAGGGCCTTGTTGGGAAAAATGATGCTTTGCAGGACCCCAGTGTTTC